AATTCATGTGAACTTATGACTGTATATGAAGGTGTGACTAGCGAATATCATGATTATTTATTAACCAACCTTGCACAAAACGTAAATAATTTATTAAGATACAGAACGAACACATTTGATTTAAATTTTTGCTATTGCTTCTGTGAAACCGGAGAAAATGGTCTTAAAAAGAATTTAAAGCGACTGAAGAAACACAAACATATGCTTATGTGTCCAAAACCAATAATAACCAATTAAGAAAAGATATGCTCTACTGTGCTGATGATGAATTAATTAAAACAAAAAAAAAAAAAAAATAAAATAAAATAAAGATTTTAAGGTTTTAAAAAAGCATAAAAAAGAAGTTAGATTCATCTTGAGACCAAACGCCACCATAAAGTCTAAAAGAAAGGTTCATGTACAGGAAGGTGGTGGCTTCTTACCTATAATCGTAGCATCATTATAAAGCGGATTTATCGGAAAATTATTAGATAATGTTCAATAAATTTAAGCGGAACATAAATAAAGTAATTTTGCTGTACCCAAGTGCATACGACGTGACGATGGATGATAAATATTCAGCGCAATTTATTAATAGAAATCTTTTACCATATTTCAACAACGTCTACCTTTTAGAATATAACAAGTTGATCAAAATTAAACAAGAATTAGATACTTATATGAAAAGAAAGTTAAAACCAATTAAGCAAAACTTTTTCTATGTACCTGAAATGTAAAGTGATGTAGAAGATGGGAAAGTTAACATTGAAAACCTGAAATCCTCCCCAAAACGTGAACGATGACAACACATTCAAAAATAGTAGAGAGAAAAACTATATTTAGCGACGTAGTCTTTCGACTTAGTGACTTAGATGATAGGTGAATTTATGACGCCTGAAAAATTCTTAAACAGAAATAAATAAGCAACACCGCACCAAGTAAGCGGACAAATCCTAATGTAAAATGGAGAATTCAAAAACGCATTTGTCCATACAACACTCGGCTTGGTAGCTAACTTAAAATTAAGGATGATTTAATTAAAAACGGCCTGTCTACAGATGTTATCATTCCAGCAGGCAAACGAAAATTGGGACGGAAATCTTCAATTCAGAAGGGCGAAAATAGTTTTAATTGGATTGCTTTATAAAAATGTACATTTGCGCTAACATTAAATAAAAAACTACCACAATCGTATTTTGAGTTCATTTACCTAATACCTTTTAAATTATGAACTACATGGAGAATTTTTATGTAACTTTATTAAGCAACAATTCAGTTGCCGTTTACCAAAACAATACTTTGTCCTCATCTAACAAATATTGTAAATCTTCCTATTATTACAAATGATCAGTGCGAAGTTGGAATAATCGAACTATTTTTAAATAATGTCAACATCGAAAATTATATATCTCAAGAGTAAGCGCAGGAATATTCAACATTATTTATCTATATAAATATAATAAAACCTCGTTGCGATTGGCATAAAATTTTAAGATGTCTTCTGTTCTGTCATTTATTGGAATAAAGAAATGTTTTGAGTTGAACAACGTAGAGTACTATAGCCTTGAAATTGCTACTATAAAGGGCATCTTTATATTCATAGTCAGTGCAGACGGCTTCAAATATAATTTTACTTACATTACTCTTCACTTTAGAAAAAAGAAACGCAATTAAAATAAAACTGATATAAATGAGAGCACAATTAATACTTGATTCAGAAGTGTAACAGACTGACATGGAGCAAGTGTATACTTCTTATTACTCAAATCAAATCGAAAGTGGAGTAAGCCACATAGGGTCATTATATGTGTCAACACGAGTCGTACAACATCGGCGTGGTATTGGTTCATTCCTCGAGTCTTTTTTTAGAAATTGAAAACCGTTGTTTCTATTAGATTTGAATGCGAATAAAGACCAAGCTACGGATTCAGGTCGCAAACCGCACTTAAAAAAAAGTTCTAAAAACATCTAAATTTCAAAAAAGCTCTAGCAAAAGTAGTATTCTGACAAAACGTAACGTAGTAAAAGACAGATTTGCTTAGAAACCGTATAACACCACACATGGAATGTTTAAAAAGCAAATTAGATTTATTTGCACCTCATCCCATACAAAGTATCATTCTAAATACAGAAGAAGTCTCATATAATCCTATTCAATTCTTAGGCAACCCTATCTCCATAGAATTTCTCTCTCTTGGTAATGACGATACATATCGCGATCTTTGCAGCGTTTATTTAAGTTTGGTTAATCAATTGAATAATAAAGATAATTCTGATGTTGCTGACGATAAATGTAGCGTTTTTAATAATCTTCTCCATTCCTGTTTCGAACCGTATTCGTATATTTAAATAACGTACGTGTTTCGCAAAGTGACAACATTTATCACTGCAGATCATACATACCAACTCTACTTAATTATAGCACTGATGCAGGTTGAACTCATTTATCATGTTCGGGATGGTATCCGGGTTACTAAACCAGTGAAATGCTTCATGATGGTAAAAAACAATTAACCGAATTGTTTGATAAGACTTACGAAGTTAAATTGTATGGAAAACTGCATGGAGATATTTTTAATCAATCTAAACTCTTTCTAAGTAATGTTGATTTGCGTATTATATTTACTTTTTAAAAATCATCATTTTATTTAATGCAAAATCCTGTTAAGGAAACGTAGCTTAAGATATTCGAAGCATAATTGTTTATGAATCACATAACTATTAATCCAAGAATACTGGTTGCTAATCGTAAAATATTACAAACGAGTGCAGCTTTATATTCATTTAATAAAGTAGATGTTAAAAAATTCACTCTGTATGACAACTTCCAACATTTTTAGCTTTTTGTTTGGTTTGCAATAGCGCTTATTCAGGCGACCGAACAACGGATCCTTTCCAGTTCGAGCATATTTACTTCCAAAGTATAACTTGTCATGTTCAAATACCCGCTCAACCACTTGAATTCGATTACTCTACAGAAAAATTAAGATTAACCAGAGCCTATAGCATGCTATTCAAATTGTGTGGAATTAATCAATCAGGTCGTGGTCTTCATATAAATAAGAAACTTTTTGAAGATAGCTGTTTTATACTAGCATTTGACCTCTCCGCTGATCGTTGCAGTAACGATTTGTATGCGAATATTTTAAGGCAAATTCGCTCGGGCATTAACATCATCTGTAACATGCACAGTTTGTTGCGAGTATGATTCGATGTTAGAGATAGATAAAAACAGAAACGTGAAAATTATGCTTTAACAAGAATACGATAAAAATACATCAAGCACTTAAGGCAAATCAATCTACAAAGAAGTATTTTCAAGGTGTTTTCTGAGCTAATAATTTACCACGGAAAGTGAGCTCTAAATCTACTATTATAATAGCAAATACAAACTACTCTAATCAACCACGAGAGCATTGGGTGGCCTTTTACTTTAATTCCAAGTTAGGAGCGGAATACTTTGACTCCTATGGTCAACGACCATTGAAAAACAAATTTTGCAATTTTCATTTGGAAATTCACATTCTTTATTTTCATTTGGAGTAAACTCAAAAATAGGTGCATTAGCTATAAATTTCCTATAGCTATAGATCTCTTCCCCGAAAAATAGTATGTTGAACATTATTTTCCTTTAACTTTTTATACGGATTCTTGGATGGGAATATTTGACTAAGACGCTTCGGAAGAAATATCCAGAGTAACTTTCCCTCTGGTGATTCCAAATAAAGGGCAATCTCTTCTCCATATTGTGTTGCTTTTGCTTTACATCCGACTATTTTATAGGCTGTGGCAATTCCTAAGTTATCAATCTCTGTATGGCCTTGTCCTGATATTTTTTAGGCTTTCCATTAAGAGTCTGCAGAAAAGTCTATTAAAAACATTCAAAAAAATTATGAGATTTTCAAAAAAGTTATATGAAAAATATTTCTTTTGTTTTTTATTTCTTACCATATAGTTCTTTTTCCAATCAAAAGTTTGAAGAAACTAACCAAAATTCAGTTTATAATTTATTTTTATGTCTAGGTTTTCTGTCTCACTAACCGATTTGGTGGTTTTAATATTTTTAAAAATAACTAAAGAGAAAAATCTGCTTATATAGGATAGAAATGTTGGTGAATTTCCCTTCAAGTGTCATCTGTAAAATTCCATCTGTATTTTATGTTTCTCTATAAATACTTTTAAGTGTGGTCATAAGGTAATAAATGAAATACCCCTTTGAACTTTTTTATCGTTTATAATGCACCATAATACTAGTTCTTTTTCCATTGTCAGCGGGGTATTTATACGAATGGACACACAGATAATAAAAATAGAAATGAGCAAGAATCATAAGACGTTTGAGTTTTCTGAAATGCAATATTGTTAAATAGTCGCACCACCCAGAGTGAACTTAATTTTTTTCTCCCTGGTAATTTCTCTAGATATTTCCATGCACGATCGTGTTTCTTAGTTTTTTATCGAAATCAGAAATAATGTATATCCTTGAAGGAATCCCTTTTCGTTTGTTCATTAAGATGTGTATAATAAAGAAAAGATTTATCGAAAGGAGTTTTTTATGCCCTTAATGTGAGGGTGTGTAATTGAAAAGATACGCATGTGATGATATTCAACCGTTCGTACTTTCGAAGGAATAAACCGTTGTTTCCTGGAAAATAGATTTTGATATGAAGTGTTTAGTAAGTATGAAGAATATTTTTTTTGTTTTTTTTATTTTTTGTAAAGTGAAGAGTAGGATAAAGAGGAAACGTAAGGCGTATTAGAGATCACTGGACATGTGTAGTTAATGATGGGAGTGTGTGAGTGTATGTCTTTATGTGTGGGTGTGCGTGTTGTTGGGTGTGCGTGTTGTTGGGTGTGCGTGTTGTTGGGTGTGCGTGTTTTTAAGTGTGAGTGTTGTTTGGTTGCGGTGATGTGCCCGAAGCATGTAATCATGTAGCCCTCGTTCCGCCATATATATACTACTATACGGGAGAGAAACATTTTGAAAAGCAAAAAAAAACGTCCTTTTCCTGAGAGATCACTACTTAAAGTATCAGTGAATTGATTGAAGGTTACGTTGAATGTTATTAGCGGCACTTGCTTTATAACACAGGCTAAATCACGATATTTAATAGATATTCATGAGCAAATTAGGATAATAATATGCACTCATGTACGTAGCATATTTCAATTATGTCGCAAATTCACTCCGTTTTCAAACACATATGTACGCTGTTGGCGAACAAAGCAGAATGTTTAAAACTATTTTGCACACTGCTCAAATGAAGGTATATTAGCTGCCTGAAAAAGGAGTAAATTTTAAAATGCATGTAGTAGGCACTTTTTTCTTAATAATACCAGCGATATGGGTACAAAATAAAAGAACTTAGAGAGCGGAATGCGAAAAACGTAGTGGTGGATATGCCACATTCGACCTCCGCCAACTTTCTTCGTTGTTTACTCTATAACAAAAAAACAAAAAAAAAATCTATTTCAAAAGCATATCAAGAAGCAAATTTTTTGTAATTTGAAACAGAAACTAAATGGTAAAAAATGTTAACATGAATTTTATTTTATGTTAGATATTAGTTCGTGACATTTTTATTTAAAAATAATACGTAATAAAAGACCACCTCTGAACTTCTGTAAAAATTGAATACTGGAATACCAATTCATTTAATCTTTCTGTATTATTCTGGTCTAATTTCACCGATAGCACGGATGATCTTGGTCAATAAGATCAACGACTGACGGTTTATTAGAGTAAGCCAATGTTCCAACATAACCCTAAAGTAAAAAGGCTTACCTCCACGCAATTACATTTTGTCAAGAAGGGTGTGGCTCATTACAGCATTTTGTTGAAGCCAGATATCATCCAAGCCGAAACCATCTAATTTTTGCCACAAAAAATCAGTGATCGTGTTTCCCTAATGCTCTCTATGGACGGTAAGGACAACGTCAGTTTCATTTTCATATGTGATATCTTCAGCCTACTGTCCACTCCCAAAACCTATTTTGTAGTCACTTCTTTACGGCTTTCTATAATCCATATTTGCGAGTTCATTTAACCAAATATCAACTCCATCCCACATGCAGAAAACGCAGCAGTACCTCCATTATTTTCGTAATATGATTTAACAATTTGTTTATATTGTACAACTATATAAGTATTATCTTTCACAAATAATGGCAAGGTCCAAACAATATATTAAAACAAAAAATTTATCCATATCTCAACCATACATTTGTTTTCGGAACCACAAACTGAATGGCCGTATATATGTAAGCTTTGTTTTCATACGTTTTTATATAACTCTTATTCTAGCGATAAGATCATAATTAACAAGCATTAAGTTCTAAAAAGTGAAACGAAAACATACTCGCCTCTACAATTTTTCAACTGCGATAGATAGAGGTATGGTCTATTGACCGTTTGTATTACATATGAAAACTTTCATACTGAAATTTTAGTTACTTACCGATTTGTGGAAGAAAAACATGTTGCATTTGTCGTCCTAGATGGACGGCAATAGAACACAAATGTCACGATGTCGGCAAGGTATAACTCCTGCTTTTAATACTTTTCCTCCTTTCACGCTGGTGTCTTTTAAGTATATGTTACACAGACGCCGAGAGCAATTTCAGAATTTATTTTAAACGTTTTCAGAAGACTCTTTAAAAAAAAAATAGACCAAAAAAATGAGAAGGAAATGAATAGTGTTCTCCTTGTATGTAGATCGTGTTTGGTGGAATAATTTTCTTTTAGTTCTTGTTGAAAGAAAGCGTTAATAAAAGCGAATTGTAGTTAATAATTATTTATTACAATAATTAAATGTTCCTACATTTTTAAGGTTTATTTTTTTGGGTGAGGCGTTTATATATGTACGACACGTAAACAAAGGTGAGTATTGCAATATTTATACTTCCTGCAAAGCTAAATGCTTCTAGAACAATCCCTATCTATTTCATGTCAACATGAATTTTAGAAAATGTTTTCAATGACGTAAAAAACCTTTTTTGGTTACGTTCGCATAAGTCTGCGGCACTGCCGCGAGTAGAATTCAAAACTAGCAAAACTCCTTTTTGGTTTCTAATCGTAACTATACTCAGAATTCGCAATATGACTAAAACTTGACAATTTTTAATCAAGAATCACAAATAGATTTGACCTATCTGCATTCACAGTCTATCATTCTGGTTGGGAGTACCAGGAAGCTCTTTCGTGAAAATATTTCAGAACTTCTGTGCTATAGTTCGTTAGCTTTTGTTCGTGCGTGTTATGGATGGCTTTCACTTCATTATCATCGTTATAATAAACTGCCGATTCCTGATTCATTCGTTGTTACTGATTTAAAACTAAAGGAACAGTTTATTTTGATGCTACATCTAACGATTGTAAGCACCTTGAAATTAACGACATGAATTGCTAATGAAATCAAAAAAGAAGAAAGTTCGAAATGAGCACAAAAAAAATTACCAAAACTATTTCTTGCCTTTAGATTTGCGTATGAATTAAATTGTTATATATTCTTTGACAGAACGGAAACTCTGTTCAAGCGCTGTGGTCATATGTTTCTCTTTGTGAAAAAATTTTTGCAATTTATTCTTCTATTTAATTTCTTTATTGCGTTATACGTTTTTAAAAGTTTTCAAACTTATTAAAATTTATTGAACTTTTTGTGTGTTTATTGCGAAAACTGTTCATCGCGGATACCGTACGTGTTTTCCTTTACAAACATTAAAAAAAAAAAAAAAATTAAAAACATCTGACATTTTATTCAGTAGTTTCCCAAACCTTTTCAAGTGAGTGGTTATTTCACAAATAATAAACAATAGACAACAATAAGGCATAATGGCCCCGCGGCCGCCAGATAAAAATTTCGAATAGATTTCATCTATTAAGTGATTAATCCCCCCAACGAAAAAAAAGTAAAAATTCCGATTTTCCGGTGTTGCCAATCAGTGATATAACCCCTATTGATAAAAAATATATTGTTATTTCTTCAACCGATGCTCGAATAACAATTTCCCAAATTAGCCCTTTTGCTATAAAAAAAGCTCTAGACAGCATTACAACATACATCGACTCCATCTCGATTCTACGCGATGGGAATTTACTTGTCCTCGCTGGGAACCCGCGCACAACCGAAAAGCTCATAAAGGCCAAATCTTTAGCTAATCTATGTGCTATTTCAGCTAAACTAATGAGAAACTTAACTAGGTTCGAGGCGTAATTTATGCCCCTTGCTTAAAGCATGTGCCGGAAGATGAAATTGTCCGCGAAATGAGCAATCAAGGAGTGACTGAAGCATATACATTAACCAAACTGAATGATGACCGAAAAACACGCTATCCTACAGGAAGAATTATTTTAACTCTTGATCGCTATCGATTACCGCGAACAGTTGATGTGGCGTGGTATAAATGTAAAGTAGAACTATACATCCCAAATCCTATGAGGTGTAAAAATTGCCAACGCCTGGGTCATACGGCAAAAAGATGCAATAGTGCTGTATCTTGTGCTAACTGTGGTCATCCTCCACATGCTGAAAGCTGTACCCGTAGTTTCTGCATAAATTGCAATGATCAACACTCAGCGTTAGACAAACAATGCCCACGTTTTGTACAGATGCGTGAAATATTAAAAATCAAAACAGAAAATTACTGTAGCATGGGCGAAGCGCGACGCACATACCGGGAAAGAAATCTATCTGTAGCCCATGGAATTGGCAAAAGTAATACCTACGCTGCTGTTGCCTCGCAAATCGAGCCTAATAAGACTTTAACTCCAACTGCTTCCAATGAAAAACCTGTTCCACCATTAACCAAAAATTATATTGCGAAACCAATTACATCACTTGCCAAAGATAATATTGAAAAAACCAAAGCAACTGCAAATATTGAAAAAATTAAAACAACAACACATATGCTATAATCTAATATACCAAATTCTCCAGAATCTCCAGCTCTCAACTTTACTCAACAAATCACAAATGGTAATGAATCCATTCTTTCATCCATTAATCAACCTTCAATTTCAAATTATTCACGTGCGCTAACTCGTTCAAATGTACCAAATCACCTAAGTAGAGATTATTCTGCTGGTAAGAATAAATCATTCACGCAAAATTCCTATAGCGACCTTCTCGACGGAGACGCTGACATGTCAACTTAACCCTCCTTCCACTCTGCTTACATGTCATTACAATTAAATAAAGTTTTTAAAATTCTACAATGGAACATTAAGGGACTCATTAATAACTTTGATGAAGTCCGTACACTCATAAGTGATTTTAATCCAAACTTTTTATCGCTTCAAGAAATCCATTGTAGAAGCTCTTTTAATCCTATTCCACCCAAATCATATACTGGATACTTCACGAATGCTGATCAAAATTCATATTCCAAACAAGGAGTTGGTGTTTTTATAAAATCAAGTATACCTCACAAACGCATAAATTTAAGCTCAAACATACAAGCCGTAGCGATACAAATAATGTTAAATATAAAATTTACAGTGCTTTCGCTCTATATTCCACCTTCGCAATCGTTTTCTCTGCAAGAACTCTACAGTTTATTCTCCGTACTTTCCCCCCCATTAATTATATGCGGCGATTTCAACAGCTGGAATACCATCTGGGGCTCAACAGTGAACAACACTCGCGGTACTGTTTTAGAAAAGGCCTTTTTTCAAAGCAACCTTTGCGTTTTAAATGATGGAAAACCAACGCACTTCTCAACTCATCATACTTTTTCACATATTGATTTAACATGTTGCTCTCCCTCACTTCTTCCTTTGGTGTCCTGGTCTATTTCTGCTTATCTACATAATAGTGATCACTTTCCAATCATAATCGATTTTAAACTTTCAACGTCCTCTGGTACTCCAGCAAAACAGGCCAAATTCCTCCTAGATAAAGCGGATTGGATCAATTACTCAAAAAAGGTGGAGTCATTTTTGAATTCAAAGCCATTTAACGGGAACTGCAACCATGATGCTGCTATTATGTCTAAAGCGATTCGCACGGCTGCTCATCTTTCTATTCCTCAATCCAACACCTCTTTTAAACGAGCTAGGGTTCCTTGGTGGAACAACACGCTTTCGTTTTTGAGGAAAAATAAAATGGATCTATGGCACCGCTTTAAGAGATGTCCTGATCAGAATCAATTGTTACTATACAAAAAGGCAAATGCTCTATTCAGGAAGAAATTACGGAAATCAAAGGCACTTAGTTTCGAACTTTTTTCGAGACGAATTCACAGAAATACATCAATGAAAGTTGTCTGGAACAAAATCAACAGACTTAATGGGACTTCAAACCTGAACCAAATTTCTGCCATCTGCACTCCCAATGGAACTTTAACTCATGCAGATGAGATTTCTAATTACTTTGGAAAAGTGTGGTGCGAATACTCCTCTGACATCTCATACCAAATGATCAGTGCTATGTCTAAGTCTAGTAAAAAGAAATTACTGAACCTATATATTACGGTATTTATGACTGGCCATATACCCTACATGTGGAAACTGGCAACAGTTGTTCCAATTCCAAAGTCAAAAAATGTCTCCATCGCATCGGACTATCGCCCAATCTCTCTTTTATCTTGCCTCTCAAAGGTATTAGAGAAGATTATGGCATCTAGATTATCTTGGTTTCTTGAGTTCAAGAACCTGATAACAAAGCAACAAGTTGGTTTCAAGCGGGGTAAAGGGTGCAGCGACGCTCTGTTACATATTGATTATTTCACAAGCAAAGCAATTTCCGAACGAAATCACGTCACAATTCTCTCAATTGATTTCGAAAAAGGATTTGACAGAGTTGGTCTTCATGTTATCTTAAGACTCCTGAAATCATGGAATGTTGAACCCAAATTCTTCAACTACATCAAATCATTCATGTCGCATTGGCGGTTCAAAGTTAGAATCAACAATCATCTTTCTGATTCCTTTCCGCTAAAGAATGGCATTCCGCAAGGATATCCTCTCTCTGTCACGCTTTTCCAGATCGCTTTCAACGAAATTAGCAAAATGCTTTGCCGTATACCAAGAGTGAAACATTGTCTCTACGCGGACGATGTATACATTTTTACAAAAGAAAAAGGCAACACGAAAGCAATCAACATCCTCGAATCTATTGCATGTGAGATCTCCACATGGGCAAACTCGTCAGGAGCTAAAATTTCTATACAAAAATAAAAAAAAAAATGCACATTTGTCGAAAACAAATGTGCGATGCAGGAAACGTAGTGATGCATATTAACGACTTACCAGTACTAAATGTGCAGACGCTCCATGTTCTCGGGCTCACGTTTTCCAACAATTATCGTTGGAAAGCACATTGCCTTTGGTTAAAACACTCCCTTTTAACAAGGGTAAATTTCATACAGTACGTTGCTTGGAGAAGCCATGCGCATATCACTTTTGCTTATCTTACCAAAATGCTTGTGTTAAGCAAGATTGACTATGCTTTGATAATTTATGGCAATAGCTGCAAATCTAATATCAACATCCTTAAATCGGTCTACCACCAAGCCGTCAGAGCAAGTTGTTATGCTTTTCGAACGACGCCCATAAATAATATTATAATTGAAACTGGTCTCCCAACTTTAGAAAATAGACTGTATGAGTTAAAAGCTAAAATAGTCCCTAAGCTTCTTAATTCAAACAAATCC